TATAGAGTGGTGGGTATTAGATATGACTGGACAAGTTACCATGAAATTTAAGAAGAGCATTGGGGTTAGTTTTTTCACCTCAACACGCACAAGTTGCAAAAGTGCTGCATCCCACATGGGACAGCTCAAGTGGTAAGCTCATAAAGGTTGTGAGAGAAGGCTGGTGATAACATCTCTCATCACTTCCCTTACCTCCACAACCCCTCCCCAAGTGAGAGGGAAGATCACCAACTTCATCTACTACCCAATTCAAAGGCCTGGATAATGAAAAACACAGAACTCAGGATACAGACTTACATATTGACAACTGGTCTTTGTGAGATGCAAATATTTATTCAGAGGGAGGTTGTGTGACATGGTTATTTAGAATGCTTATTTGTGGTAATCGCTTCAGCCATCAAATTGCCTTTCCTTCCTTCAAAATCCCATGTCCAGATATGCAAGAACAAAGAACAATAGAAAACTAATGACTAGACTTAATGGAGATCTTGCCAAGGATGAAAGAAACATGATTGAATAAACCAGAAGAACTAGTTTGGACTACTCCACTGACAGTGGAGTGGGGAAGGAAGAAAATATAGAAGTAAAATGAAGGAAGGGAAAGGGTCTTTAGGGAGAGTTCTGGGAAAAGAATATTTGTGGAATAATAGGCCCAAATGATCTGCCTTTTCCCCTTCCCCTCCTCTCTGACAGTTGCAACGTTGAGGCTCTTGACCATCCACCTTTTTGATGGCTGTTCCCAAAGTAGCAGAAGCCACAGATGTCCAGTGTGCTGGCGCGTGGAACAAGGACAGCAGAATGAAAGAAGCATAGCATTGTAGGACAAGGTAAGATCATGTTTAGACACACACACACACACACACACACACACACACACACACAAACCAGATAAATACTTAGGAAACCACCCCAAAAGATATGTGAAAGAGCTTTCTAAAGAAAATTTCCCAAGTGACAAAAAGGTCTAAACAGCTATACCTAGAAGGGAAAATTCTAAAGATGCCAATTCTAACCAATTCAATCTATAGAGTTAATGCAATTTCAATCAAAACTAAAGGGTGGATTACATAATAAATGACATGAGTATACCTAAGTATACATTTAGAGAAAGTTAAGGTAGAAATTCACATCAAATCATTTACACAAACAGACAGACAGACACATACACACGCAATACTAGTAGGATAACAAAGGAGATAACTCTAGAAAGGATATTGTCTTTGTGTTCCTTCTATGGAAACAGGCAAATGTTTTTCTTATAAACTTGGGATAGGCAAGGATATCCTAGAAAAAAAAAAAAACAAGAAAAAAGAACAGGGGGCTAAAGATTGACACAAAGAGATAATTTAAATTTCCTGAGTGATGGAATACACCACACGTACAAGAAAAATCAAGAAATAGGATGAGCAAAACCATTTACAGGACATAGACTCAACATACAAAAATACACTTATTTCCAGTGTGGCTAAATGCTGCCATATGGGACAGAGCGGCAAGTCTATAGGTAGAAAACAAAGTTGCTTTTGTCCTCCACAGATACAGTATTTTGGGAAGGGGAAGAGACCAGTCCCCAGTTGCACACGGTCTGAAAGTCAGCAGGGTGAGGGTTCCTAAGCATCCTGCGGGCCAGCGTATGTCCTGAGAAGGTACCTGTGGTAGAGGCCTGCTCATAAGTGACAAAGCAGCCTTCCCTAAGGACACACACACCACCTGCCTTAGGGCACCCAGTGAGCGGAGGATCCCCAAGTCAGTTAGGGGTGAGCCTCAGCAGGGACTTCAACGCGAGGAAGGTGCTCAGCTAGGAGCACGAGGATCCCAGAATGTGCCACACGGCAGCGCTAGAATGCAGTGCTCCAACGAAGAGGCTGGATTCATTGGATGGCCATTTGGGAAAAGAAGTCAAGTCACATCACTGTCTTCCACCTTGCATAAAAGTAAATTCCAAGTAGGTTCATGGGACGAAACTCTAAATAGAAAGGAGTAAAAGAAGAAGGAAACCACCACGGAGACTCTTTGCAATGGCAGAGCGGGAAAGGCTGTCCTAAGCCACATGCAAACAAGAGGCAGTAAGGGAAAGTGAAGGGAACGCGAAGCGCCAGGTGGAAAGGCGGCCATGAGCAGAGCGAGAGGGCAGTGGCAGCCTGGGAGAAGGTGCGTGCAGCATCTGTGACAGACTGGGAGGGGTCGGCCTGTGCAGGCCTCTGCTGGACTCTGGTGCAAGCCCATCTGCACGTCAGACCAGTCGGTGTCCCTCAGAAGACAGGCAGGAGCAACTCCCTGCCACAGCTGCCCGACTCTGAGCCGAGTGGTGCATCGGCGGAAAGGCTGACTCCCTGGGGGCTGTGCGGTCCACGGGTGGCACTCAGAAGTGAGGGGATCGCGGTGCAGACTGCTTTGAGAGGGACATACATGCCCGGTGAAGATGCGGTGTTTGAGACCACTTGTGCCTGCCGGGAGGCTGGATGTCTGCAACCTTGTGGGTACTTACCTGGAGGGGGAGCGGAGGGGGTGTCAAACCACAAAGTCCCCAGGAGAGGCAGCAGGCTGTGGAGGGCCCCTGGAGTTGGCGTGGAAGCCAGTGCCTACAGGCACCACATGGAAACGTACCAATGAGGTGAATAAGCAGCAAGACCAGGGCCCTTTCTGGAGGTGGAAGGCAGCCCGTGGTGCCAGCTCCAGAATTATCCAAGAGGCAGCTTAGGCTGGGGTGGCACCGTCCAGGCAGGGCACCTCCCCACAGCATGAGGAAGCTCAGCATTTTGATGACCTTGTCCAATATTTGCCATGGGGCGGGAGGCCCAGAGAGCCTGTCTTTTGGTTGCAGCAGACGGGTAAGTTTTGTGATTGATGGATTCAGGCTGTTTTAAATTTTGCACGTCATGTGGCATGGGGGCACCAGTGCTCTTGCCAGTGCTCAGAGCCTCTCAAGTGTCGTGGCCAGGCCCTAGGAGACAGGCATGCTCCCGACTCCCCTGCACACACCGGAGAGGCAGAATCCAATGGACACTGGGCTCAGACATTGGTACTGCAACCAGCCAAGGGATGAGGGGCAGGACGGAAGGCCTGTGCTCCCGGACACGGGGAGGGTTTGCAGGAGGGCAGTGCCGGCAGATGGACAGGAGGGTTTTGACTCGGGCCAAGACCACGCCATTAGGACACTTTGTTGCTGGCGGGTCTCCCCGTGACAGATTGGTCTGGAGATGGGCAGAAAGCCTCTGAGGCCCTCCTTGAGTCCCGAGTCAGTCGTGGCCTTCCTGCGGCAAGTGCCTCAGATGGTGGACAACTGCAGGCAAAAGGAAATTCGGTAGTGTGCAGCGGAGTAGGGAGGTGCATGCTAATGTGGGGCCGCAAGCTAGGAGGAAGGAGAGCAGCCTCTGCCTTTGTGCTGAGATTAAAGAGGCTGAGCAATGAGGTGTCACTGAGGACGGCATTGGCGAAGCAGGCTCCACTGGGAAAAGTGCATGCAGCAGCTGTCTGCGGGGAAATCCTCCTTGGAAAACAGATTGCCCAGCCAAGCTGTGGTTCGCTTGGGAGAAAGGGGTGGTCCCCTCGGCAGCACTTAGGAGGCAAGACAGGGCCCCCGGGGCCAGCCAAGGAAGGCCCAGCCAGGTGAGCCCTCATGGGGGTGTGATGTGGCAGCGACTGCAAGTCAGCCGCTGGCCATCCCACGCACCGGGGCCTGGGAAGAGGCAGAGTCCCCATCCCAGGTTGGAAGAATTCCCAGAGTTGGTCTGGGACCTGGCAGGCGCCCAGGCCCGCTGGTCAGCATGGAGCGTGGGGCAGACGGTCCAAGCAGGAACGCTGTAGCCCACCTGGAACACAAACTCCGGGGGAAGGGAGAATAAGAAAAGAGAAGAGAGCCATGCCCTGTGTGGAGGAGAACAGGCAGAAGGCGGAGCCCTGTGGAGGCTGCTGCTGCCCAGGGCACAGTGACCCACAGCAGCAGCCCAGGGAGACCGACCAGGAGAGGGCACCGGGCGCAGCGGCACTGCCCAAGGGAAACAGATGTGTTTACTGGGTTTGCCATGACTTTGGGGAAGGGGACCACTTCTTGACACATGACGCACATGCATCGAGCTCGGCTGTGGTGAGGCAGGGGCTGAGGCTTGCTGGGTGGGGGCTGGAAATGTTGGGGGAGGAGTTGCCTGGCCCCATGGAGTGCTTCAGCACACAAGAGCTCTTCCTTCCCCGGCAGGGGTAGTGGGACCTCGGCCGGAGGGCATGGAGGTGTCTCCTGATGGATGGACCAGCCAGGGCCGTGCCAAGCACCCTCAGCATCTGCCCTACCACCCCGGGGGAGTTGACGGAGGGCTTCACTGTCCCCTTCCTGGGTCCTACCCAAGGTACGGGGTGTTGGGGGGTGGATACAGAAGAAAGGTGGTTCCCCCAAAGGAAGCAGCAGCCAACCCTTCTCATGCTGGGAAGTAGTACTTGGGATGGGAAGGAAGAGAGGACGGCTGGAAGCAGACTTCACAGCAGCTTTGCTGGAGAGATAGAACTACGGGAGGCAGGCGCCGGGCAAGTGGCAACCTTTATTGTGATGATTCTGCATTAAATGCTCATGGATGTGCGGCAGAGCGCCCCATCCCCGCCGCCCCTTCCCCTACCCCCCCCACCCCCAGCGTTGGATGCCCAGACAAATGCCAAGGATACTGACCTTCCTCTCTAGCCGGGCAGTCAAGGAAACACGCCCTTATGGAGGGATTTCTATGTGTCGGGCACTGCGCTGCCTGCTTCAAGGATATTTTCTCATTTAGTCCCCTCAATGTCGCATCTTAATTTCACCAGCTGCCCCCACCCTGGACTCCCACACCTGCCTCCAGCCCTTTCCTGAAGCTCATTCTGAGCACTGCAGCCCGTTTCTACCCCTGCCTCCTGCGAGCACTGGGAAGGGTGCATTTGTCAGGGAGCAGCAGACGCCCCAGTCTGCTGGCGTTTATTGAGCCTTTTTCTCTTTCTCTTCGTGCAGACTGTAAACTCAAGGACGAGGACCATGTCTCTTTTTTTGCCAATCAAAGCACACAACTTTATTGATGATACACACAGATGCGGGCTTGGGCGGAAGAGGTTAAGTCAGTACAATAGACAGAAGGGGAGTGCCCTTTTTTGATGAATAGGTTCAGCATCCATCAGCTCGTGTAGAAGAAAGAATAGATGAAACATAATTCAACCTAAGCTGCAACACAGGCATTTTCAGCTCGAGCTCCGATATGCCGCTGGTCTCTGCAAAGTGGTCCCGCTTAGACAGGGAGACCACCATCACCACAGGCAACAACCGCGCTCCGTGATGCTAGGATTTCACGTTCTTTACCCACGGCAGGCAGCCAGAGCGATCCCTTTGCCCCGTGAAGGGGGATGCAAGGGAGTAATTTACAATGCACGTTGCCTGCACACTGCGAAACCAAGGAGGTACTCAAAGCTCTGTGGGAGCCCCTGCCTGGCCAATAAGAGCGTGGTCCTCGATTTAGCACTAGAACTTTCACCCAATGATGTGGCGACTGGCTAAGGCTGGATCTTCCGTAGCACCCTCTGCAGATTCTTTGACATCTGCAAACAAGCGGGTTTGGGTGGATTCAGTCCCATTGTGTTTGAGACGGTCATTTACCGGGCAAGGGTTTCCAGGAGAATCTCTCTGTTTCCATTTCTGGTAAAGAGGGACATGAATGAGAGCAGCATCTGGGCACCGAGCAATTCCCCCGCCAAGACTGGCTTTTCAGACAAACCCATCAGCGGTTTCAAAAGCTGAACCTTAGCACATCCACTTCCCTCTGAAATCAAAGGAAACTTCAGGTCTGAAACGGACTTGGCAAGCATGTTATTAATAACTGTCATGCTTATTAACACATTTAATCCGGCCTGCTGCAGAAATGAGTTGCAGCAACGTGACACAGTCTCCCGACACACTTCGTTGATGTACACCTTAATCTGGCCCCGGTTTTCAATACTCTCATTCACGTTATCCGGGGCACACAAAGCCTCCCCAACAGTGGAGTCGGGAGTGGGGATCGTGTTTCCAACGATTGAGAGGCTGGCCAAATGACTATTGATATCGTGGCTAAATGACAAACCCGCATCCTTGAGCTCAGCAAACAGCATTTTCCCCTGAATCAAAAGACACTTGGAGAGGTCAAGAGTGCAGCTGACATTTTTAAAGTTTTGAGCACTCCAAGTATTTTTATGTTCATAGGGGAATGGCCGCTGTTTTATTGGGTGTGCTCGGTTGGCCTTGCCCCCCCCGGAAGGCCTGTCCTCAGTGCCACCTGGGGCCCCAGGTTCAGTCCAGTCCCCATCCTCACTCCATGGTCGAGCCATAGTTGTGAAATCAAACCAAATGTCGGACTCCTCCTCATCCAGCTCCTCGTCATCGTCCCATTCCTCTTCCTCCTCCTCCAACTTGTCACTGTCATCTCTTCCTATAGTCAGTTTGTAAACGCAGTAGCAGGCACCAGCCCCAATCATCAGTCCTGCCGCCATCCAACCCACTTCCCGAGCCCGGCCCATAGTCAAGTCCGTGCCAGCCTTGGGGCAGGACAGGAGGGGGCCTTGCTCCACCTGACTGAAGAGGACTCTTAGGGCCAGGGCGAGTAATGCTGGAAGGCGGTAGTCTTCAGCCTCTCTTGGTTCCTGTAGCTGTTTTGTGATGAATCTAAGGGTGTAAAAGAGTATTAGGGTTTTGGGTTGTACCTGGGTTTGTGCCTCACCAGACAGTGGAATTTGAGTTCTTGGTGAGAAAGGTGGATTATTAGGAAACTGGTTTTTTTTTTTTGTTCTTTTCTGTCTTCCCCTATCTACCCTCAGGATCCACCGTTTCTCTTCCCTGCACCACAGAGAACGGTGGGAAATGGGGCTGTGTTGTCATGTCCACGAGGTCCACTGGGAGAGTCTACCCCTCAGGCAGTCTTCTCCTTCACCACACCTCCACCCCCAAAGACTCACGGGCAGTCTCCTACCAACCTCTACCAGTCAGGTAAATTCCTTCTTCTTCCCTTATCTTCTGTTATCAGTGTTCCCTCCACAGTGATAGAAGGACAGAGTCTGGCAGAAGGACAAATGGAAAGACAGGTAGGCAGCAATAGAGAACTGAAAGTGGAGTGGATGGAACAGCACTGAAGGACACAGGTCCCAGTATCTGCGTTCCTGAATTTTAGGCCCCTGAGTTTAAAAGATTTTTCACACTCTCCTGACTTTCCTAACGCGGGCTTCCCCCGCCCCCCTTGTCCGCCATTTCCCCAGCAAAGGCCGCCACACCCCTTTCCCTGCGCTGAGATGGGAGGGGGTGTGGAGAAGGAAGGGGCCAGGAGAGGGCGACTCGGACCCGGCCCCTACAGATCCCAGACCCCCTCCTCCGCCACCCCCACCCACAGTCCCGGGCAAATCCCACCTTCACACCGACCTGCACGGTTCCGACCAAGGCAGTTTGCGCCTTCTCTCTCGCCGAGACTTGCGTCGCGACCTACAGGCCAACAGACCTACAAACCTGCGAAGGGACAGGGGACCGAGGGGACGGAGTGCTTGGTGGACGGACCAGCACTCGAGATACGAGTGCCCCGATTGTGGAACCCTTCTTTTCTCGGAGTCTCTGGAACCTTCATTCTCTCCCCTCACCCCCACTCGAAGTCCGCCACTTCTCTCTACTGCAATGAGCACGGGGTGGGCTGGGGGTCGGGGGCGGTATTTAACAAGTAGACAGGAAAGGGATCCAGTCCCGATCAGCCCGAACTTGGATCCGCAGCGCTCCTGGCCCTCTCCCACCCCCACCTCCTTCCAAGCAGCGGCCACCCTCGCACCGACCTGCACGGTCTGAGCTAGTTCCCTTCTTCCTTCACACGCCTGCAGAGTAATAGGGGGCTGGTACCCAGACGGAGACGACTGGCAGGACTTCTGCTCTCGGCGGCGGCTCTCGGTCACGTGACAGCCACGTCACCAGTGAGCTCTGGCCCCCAGTTTCCACTCCCACAAGCAGTGCGGCAGGCGCCAGCCTGCCCCGTACCTCCCCCAATCACACTGGGCCCTGTCACTCTTTTCCTCTGTAACAATACCAGAATCTAGAAGTGGCCATGTCTCTCTGGTGTTTGAATTTGACTTTCTCTAATTACAGGAAGAGGCAGCATCTTCTCCTGGGTCTACCTTTCACTTGTACTTCTTGGGGAATTTTCTCATCCTTTCCTTGACTCTGAAACTCCTGCATGCCCTTCCTTAATTTCTACTCCTTTCCATATTCAGTCTCTGCACCAAAATTGGGGAGGAGCAGAAAAGGAAGCCCAGGTAGTAGTAGATTTTTATGAATGTTTTGATACATTTATGTTCTATTTTGTCCTTTTTTTATTGACTCGAGCTACACTGTTTTGTAACCAAAAATACAATAAAGCTATTTCTACTTGGAGAAAAAAAGAATTCAAATCTATTTTTAAAAGTGAATATAACGTAAGTAAGATGTTCCAGTTCATAGGGAGGCCTCATTGATTTGGTGAAGTTAATATGTTTTACATTGAAAATATTTTCTCGTGACTGCACAGTAAATAGAAGCTTTCAGGCAGCATACTAAAATTTAAAAACATACGCTTACAAACAAAACCAGTGTGCTTCCAATATAATTTATAAATTGATGGATAAATGAATCTGTACTGAGAAGGTCTGTGTTCTAATCATGACCATTTAGATAAGTGAACCACTGTCCCTTTCTTTCTCCTTACTGAACTGATAGTCAAAGTGTCAGAGGACTGAGGTCTTCATAGAAGACTACTAGATGGCTTTCACTCTGGCTTCAAAGGACAGATTTTATGCAGACCCCAACTTCAGATGAATCTTAGGTCTTCAGATGAACTTTCGAGATTAGCAACTTCACAGGTTAGCCTGCCTTTCATTCAAAGGGCTTTATTTAAAATCTATTGTGAAGTTTTGTGGTGCAACCCATAAATCATCCAAAATTACAGAATTCCTTGTTATTCCACTGGTGAAAATGAGACTTGATAGAGGGAATTTTCATTCCATTATGACACTGTGGAGCTCTCTCTGGTGTCTGCCATTCATATACTGTACATCATCCTAGCGGTGACCAGTGGAGATGGTGGTGCGGGTCTGTGGGTGACTGTGAATCACTGCAACATCCCTGATGTCTGTGTCGTTTTCCCCCACAAATGGGAGGACAATGTACAGGATCCCAAGTAGTCACTGGGAGAAAGAGGATTTTTCATTCCCTGCCTCGTGTGACAACTTCACTGTACCACCCGTACAAGCCCCTCAGAATAATCCCAGAACTCAGGGACAAAGTATGCAGAAGTTAGTCCCCAGACATCCACCTGTCCCTGCTGGAGAGTCATAATCTAAATATAGACGCTCCAGGCAGCCTCTTTCTTAGAACACTGAAATATGACACCCGGGAGAGAGGCCCCCCCTGCGAGGGGCCCCTGTGTGGAGGAGGCCCTTTCAGGAGGCGAGCCAGGGAGCCCTACTGCCTGGCTGACAAATATTCAGAAATCAAGAACATGTCGCAACTCTCTGTTCTTCCCTTTTATAGTCCAAACTCACTCACCAATTTCATACCCCATCTCTCTAAATCTCTGCCTCATTTGTTTTACCATCATCCCCTTATACTGTTTTTTTTTTTCATTGCCCTTTACTTTGCCTAGACAAGGGAATTCTATTTATGAAGGCTTACTAATAGATCTCTCACATTTAACTGGCCATCATTCAGTTTCCAGCTGCTACGTGCTTGTATAAGTGCCTTTGGTTGTTTTGAATATATACATTAGAAAGAACTAAGGGGTAGTAAAGCTTAATGAAGGCAGATGACTTGGTGTCAGAGACATGGCTCTACAATATCGACTCATTTTCTCAACACTTAGCCAGGCTTCAAGGACAAAAACTTTACTCCTTCCTCTCCTCACTAGTATAAAATATCTTCCCCGTTTGGTATATCCTTCAATTATTCGAACGTATAACCCCTGACTACCATTCTCCCAGTCTGTCAGACCTTTCCCAGTTTGAGTCCACTTCCTGTCTAAACCCCATGGGCATGATAACCCTTTCAATTCTCTTATATCTTTGTCATTCTGATCCACAATTACTTCCAATTCCTACCTGGGGACATTCAGAAACTACTTTGATCTCCATTATACATCTATTAATACCAAAAAATATTTATTTAAGGACATGTTATGTGTCTGACATACTGTTTCAAAAGTGAAAAAGGAAAATGCTTAAGCAAGTCCTCAGATAAGCCTGTTAAAAGTTCCTGAGACTGCAAAAGATCTTGTGAAACCACTGCCAAAAGGAACCTTTCGGTTTAAATCAGTATGTGGTCACATATGATATGTAAGTTATAAAGTACCCAGAAACAAAAAAGGATCAGTAGATGGTAACACTAATGGAATTGCCTGGTACGGTGTGTCACATCTGTAATCCTAGCACTTTGGGAGGCCAAGGCAGGAGGACTGCTTGAGGCCAGAAGTTTGAGACCAGCCTGGTCAACATAGCAATATTGCCCCCTGCCATCTCTACAAAAAATAAAAATAAAAATAAAAATGGCACTGTGGAGGGCAAAAAAAATTATAGAAGGCTGTTATCTCAAAAAGCTACATTATTTTTTGAATTGTGTTATTTGGTTTTTTGTTGTGTCTTAGTTAAGGTTGTTTGCTTATAAGCAACAGAAAACAAACCTGGTTAACTCAGGCAAGGAGGGAATGTTGAAGACCAGGGTCAGCTCTGAGGAGTCTTGGTAGGAGGAATTGACAGATGCCTCTTCAGGATGACATAGTCCACCGATTTTCATGTTTTTATCTTTCCGCTCAAGATTCAAATTTTAGTAAGAGGCTTTTGGTTGGCCTTTTTTGGGCACAGTGCCCACTCTTTTGCTGAAAAAAACAATAGGGTATGTAAAATGTAAAATGTATTTTCTTTTCCCAGAGAGAAATGTGAACTGTTTCAGATGTTGTTGTTGATGTGCAGGATCCTGTTTACCACACTGGATATTAACCCTTTGTCCAGCTATGACTGAGGTGCTGGGGACTTATCTTCCACAGCATGTCTTAGTTCCAATTTCCACATTAACTGAACATTAGAAAGGTACAGTTATGAAATGGCCATGCATAAGGTTGTTCTTTGAGCCAAGGCCACATGGCTTCCAAGACAGAATTCCACAAGGTTGCATCTACAGTTCAGGGTCTTGTCCTCAGTGTTGCATGATCAAGCCCTGATTTTGTCTGCATGCTAAGAGCAGATGCCTCTGTCAAGGAAAGACTCCCATTCGCTAAGACATACATAAATCTAGATCTGAATGCTCAAACCCGTGGGTCTCTGCATTCTCTCCTTGTTAGGAGGCCACAAGGGAAACTAAGTCACAACAGGAGTAACAACTGAATAATTTGCCCTAAGAAATGCAACTGTCAGGGGTACTGGAGGTTTCTGTCAGTATTGCCTGCCCATTCTCTCCCTGTAGCCAAGCTACTGCTTGGGAAACCATAACCTCAGAAAGTTGCTTGATGAGCTTGCAGTCAGAGCAAGGGCATTCGTTTACCCTAAGAAGTGGCTTTCAGCTGAGGAAGCTTGAAGTACTTTTACACATCATGGGGATGACTCTGCCAAGGAAAGCTAAATGTTCCATTCATCTTAGCCAACACTCCTTCTCCTCCAGACAGTACTTGGGTGGGAAACACCAACACTTTCCTCTGACTCGCCTTTCCATATATTCCTATGCTTGAATAAGCCCCTCTGCTGCACATGACCTTTCTCCAAACAGAAGATAATTTGGTTTCTGTTTACTAAATTTCAGTCATGTCCTAGTGCTGCCTCCCTGAAGTTACACTGATATGAATTTTCCTGAGGTTTGCCTGTTCCCAAACTCCCCAGTCTTTTGATTTACTTCTGTATTGTTTGTGGATTTTAAAAGTTATGTAGTCAGATAACAACCTTCTATCCAAACTATTAGGGAATATCCCACTGAAGACTCCATGTTCGAAAAAGCTTTATTACTTTTTGTATTGTTATTTGTACTGTGTATTACTTAAGGTTGCTGGGCTATAAGCAATTGAAACCAAACCTGGTTAACTTAAACATTGAAAGAATGTGATTATTTTATTCCCTTTCCTACTTTAAAAGAGTTAAATCATTGATGCTGGGTGAATTATTGAGCTCATCAAACAAGCCAGGGAAATGGTTTCACACTAATTGCTAGATGCCAAGTTCAGCCAATTTTATCTTGGTCTCAGTGTTCCTCTAATACCTATTTCATTTACAGATGGTAGTCTCTATTTGTACCCAAGTATATTTTGTAATGTTCTTTGTATATCACTTGCATTGTCAGCGTGCATGCTGCTTTATCTTATAGACACCGACTCTGTGGTTGTGATTTCTACTCAGTTTTTTCCTGTTACTGTCTTCTGCAGCCTCAATGCCTCCTCCTTGCTAACTGATGGAGGTAAAAGTCTATAGCTCTCCTGTTTAGAAGACTGCCCTAGTCAGAAGATTTACATATTCTCAGACACACTGACTAGCTCATTCAGGGTTGTGTAATGTGTTAAGCCTCAGAAGACATTAAGATTGCTTTGGGTGAAGTGTGTAACACTCTCCACCAAGTGAGAAAATGCGGGACTTTTGGAGGTCATCACCCAACATCACCCAACACTCTCCACCCTCCACTCTTTTTCTTTTCTAAAATGGAAACAGCTTTATAGTATTTTTTCCCATTAAAAGAATGTAGGCTGGGGCCAGGAACAAAAAAAACAAAAAAGTAATTAAGAAAGTAAAAGCTACATTCTCATTCCAGGTTTCCTTTTCTGATTGCTCGTTCATTTCACATCTGGGACTAGATTTCAGAGGAAATGGTAGACATTAATAGCTGGGAGGAGGGGAGGTGGAGGGAGAGGCTGCTGTCCCAGGAGTCTAGGGAAGGAAGAGGCAATTTTTCAAAAAAGTACAAGTGGCCAGTAACCCCAGGGGAAGATGCTGTCCCTTTTTGGTAATCAGGAAGGGAAACACAACTACAGGGAGCTGGGATTAGCGAAGGAAGAGTAACAAGGCCTGGTATGGGGGAGGGAAAGGAGGGGGGCGGGCCCTCTTCTGCCGCACTGCTGGTGGGAGGGGAAATTGGGGACCCGAGTTGGTGGATGACGTAGCTGTCACGTGACCAAGAGCTGACGTGTGCAGAAGTCCTTCTTGTCCTGGTCGTTGTTCCCGTCTGAGTACCAGCTCCCTATTGCCCTGAGGGCGGGCGGGCCTGCGGCAGAGGGAAGAGGAGGAGGAGAAGGAAATTGTCCCGGATCCCTGCAGGTTAGTGCCTGGGAGATTCCATACAGCGGGGGTGGCCGAGGGCGTAGGGCGGAGACCGTCGCGGGTCCTGAGGCGCCTCCGTCGTCTCTCCCACTCGCTGCCCGCTTTCCAAGACATATGTCCCGCCTGCAGCCCATTTCGATCATGCAAAAAGGTGAGCAGGGGGGTATTTGAGGAGGAGCCCAGAGATCGGGAAATGGGAATCTGCTGGGAGGTCAGGCCCGCAATCCGGAAAAGGAGCTGTGGCCTGGGTGTTGGCCCCTAGTCCACCAAAACAGTGACGGCGGGGAAAGGCTGGACATGGGGGGCGGGGGTGGTGAGGTGCAACGTAATGTGTCAACAGAACCCCAAGAGGGGCAATAGGGATGGGAAACCTTTGACAACCAGGCCTCCGGATTGGGAAAGAGTTTCGTGTTCTGGGGACTGGTCCGTCCACCAAGCACTCAGTAGCGGCTATTTCCCGTCTTTCTGCCTACGGCTGTGTCCTCCTGACCATGGCTCTGTGTCTAGTGGGTCCGATCCTCTCCCAGGTGGCCAGTCTTTCCGTAGGTTGCGGTACAACACCCGGCAAGAGAAGAGGAAGGAAATTAACCCCGATCGGTGAAGGTCGATTTGAGGGTAAGACCATCTGGGGACCCTAGGAGCGGTGGAGGTGGGGGTGGGGAGAAACAAACGGAGGTAATAATTTAGGTTCAGGTCTGAGTCTGAATGTGTTTCTCGCACTCCCCGGACTGTGGCGAAATGGCGTGCGTTGTGTGTGTGTGGGGAGGGGGGATAACAGCAGGGAAACCTATCAGATAGTTTGTTCATAATCCTCTCTCAACAGCACTTAGTCCCCATGTTTTTGATCTGTCATCCTGCAGGTCTGCTGTAGCAGGTGGCCCCGCTTGAAGCGAGGGAGGAAGTTTCCTCTGATCAGTAGAGGTCGGTGTGGGCGTGGGGGCTGTCTGGAATGGGGGAGGGGTTGGAAATCAGCCGCGGTTTGGGCGGGCTCACCCAATCCTACTTTATTTTCTTACATCCCTCCTATTTCAGGCTAGGGAGGGGTCAGGCATGTGCATGTTTCGGATGGCATTGAGAGAGAAAAAACAAATCTGAAAACCTGCACGGCGAATCAGGAAAGCAACAAATGAACGGTCAATCCATCAAGCCCTCAGTTCTCACTGGCTCTGATCTTTCTGCAGATTGGAAGGTTGTTGGGCGTGGCACACCTCCAGGGAAGGGAAGAAGGGGTAAACTGCCTATCTTGAGGAGGTTAGTGCAAGGTTGCTACTCCCTGGGGACATCCAAGGCTGTGGTGACTGAGAACCTAGCAGAGTCTGTGGACTCCATTGCCTTTATCTAGACTTAGGATAGAGGTGAACTGGGGGGTAAGGGAGAGGGTGAAATGAGCGCGATAGAGATTTTGTCAGCAGTCTACATTTACTGCCCAGCATTCAATTACTACTCTCTTGTCCCTCTGTGCAACTCTATGCATGGGACAACACAAATAGAAGAGAAACTCAAACCCTATTTTCTTCTTCCACCTGTAGGTCCATCTCCAGAATCAGCTATTGTGGCCTTGAAGTGGCTGAAGACGATCACCCTTCACAGACCTGCACCCAGGCACACAGCCCTCTTACCACAGCCTGAGTGACTACTCTATTCCTTGGTCCCTGCTATTGTCAGGGACGATTGCATGGGCTACGCCAGGAAAGTAGGCTGGGTGACTGCAGGCCTGGTGATTGGGGCTGGTGCCTGCTATTGCATTTATAGACTGACCCGGGGAAGAAAACAGAACAAGGAAAAAATGGCCGAGGGTGGATCTGGGGATGTGGATGATGCTGGGGACTGTTCTGGGGCCAGGTACAATGACTGGTCTGATGATGATGATGATAGCAATGATAGCAAGAGTATAGTGTGGTACCCACCTTGGGCCCGGATTGGAACTGAGGCCGGGACCAGAGCTAGGGCCAGGGCAAGGGCCAGGGCTACCAGGGCACGTCGAGCTGTCCAAAAACGGGCTTCTCCCAATTCAGATGATACTGTTTTGTCCCCTCAAGAGCTACAAAAAGTTCTTTGCTTGGTTGAGATGTCCGAAAAGCCTTATATTCTTGAAGCAGCTCTAATTGCTCTGGGTAACAATGCTGCTTATGCATTTAACAGAGATATTATTCGTGATCTGGGTGGTCTCCCAATTGTTGCAAAGATTCTCAATACTCGGGATCCCATAGTTAAGGAAAAGGCTTTAATTGTCCTGAATAACTTGAGTGTGAATGCTGAAAATCAGCGCAGGCTTAAGATATACATGAATCAAGTGTGCGATGACACAATCACTTCTCGCTTGAACTCATCTGTGCAGCTGGCTGGACTAAGATTGCTTACAAATATGACTGTTACTAATGAGTATCAGCACATGCTTGCTAATTCCATTTCCGACTTTTTTCGTTTATTTTCAGCAGGAAATGAAGAAACCAAACTTCAGGTTTTGAAACTCCTTTTGAATTTGGCTGAAAATCCAGCCATGACTGGGGAACTGCTCAGAGCCCAAGTACCATCTTCACTGGGTTCCCTCTTTAACAAGAAGGAGAACAAAGAAGTTATTCTTAAACTTCTGGTCATATTTGAGAACATAAATGACAATTTTAAATGGGAAGAAAATGAACCTACTCAGAATCAATTCAGTGAAGGTTCACTTTTTTCCTTTTTGAAAGAATTTCAAGTGTGTGCTGATAAGGTTCTGGGAATAGAAAGTCACCATGATTTTTTGGTGAAAGTAAAAGTTGGAAAATTCATGGCCAAACTGGCTGAGCATATGTTCCCAAAGAGCCAGGAATAACTCCTTGATTTTGTAGTTTAGAAGCAACACACATTGTAAACTATTCCTTTTCTCCACCTTGTTTATATGGTAAAGGAATCCTTTCAGCTGCCAATTTTGAATAATGAGTATCATATTGTATCATCAAAGCTAATATTTAACCAACTTGGTCTGCAGGTTTAAGCTGGATTAATGAATATCACTACTTGTTCTGAAAACATGTTTGTTGCTTTTTATCTCGCTGCCTAGATCGAAATATTTTTACTATTTCCTCTGCATAAGTGACAGTGAATCCATTCTTCATAAGTAAGCTCCCTTTTGTCACTTGCATTGATTTCATTTGTGTATCATCAATAAAGTTGTGTGTTAATGCTGGAAAGAAAAAAAAAGAAAGAAGAAAGAAAGAAACCATCTTTGTCCTTCAGTTTATAATCTAGTTGGAGAGATAAGAAACATGCAAACCAAAAGATAGCTGAGAATATCTGAAGCGTACACTCACTATCAGATATGTGCTCTCACAGCACAGAGGAGGCAAAGGCTTCTGTGGGATGTGCTAGTCAGCTAAAGCTTCGTGGAGCAGGTGGCCATTGAAAACGAGTCCTGAGTGGAGCAGGGTGGTTAGGGCATTCCATGGGACAGGAACAAGGAGAGAATGATATGAGAAAGGCACAGAGGTAGGAACCCTCTTCGTAGGACAGTCAGGAGACAAATCTGCTTAGAGTGGAGAGTGTGAGGAGTGAGAGTAAATACATTTGGAAAGCTGGGTGAAACCAGCTGTGGGGAGCTGTTTGAATATTATCCCATCGAGCACTGAGAGCCAAGAAATATTTTTTACTAGAAAATATTTGGGATCCATTAAAAGTCCCTCTCTACTATGGTGCAGTGTCAATGAGGGTGTGCAAAATGGAGCCGTTCAAAACCCTGGCCATTTGGTAATACATATGATAAGCCTTAAAATATGTAAGCCCTTTGTCCTAAGGAAGTAATTATATAATTGGCCAAAGATTGTATGTACAAGGCTGTTCATCCCAAGCATTATCTACAGTAGTAAAAATTGGAAACAACTTAAGTATCTATCTAGCACACTGGATTGGTTAAATAAATTAAGGAATGGTCACACAGTAGGATATGATAACTATGCTGATGAAAATCTATATTGCCAGGAAAAGCTATTCATCATGCATTGTGAAGTAAGAAAGGTAGGCTACAAAGCAGTATTCAGAGTATGATTCCATTTTTTTGAGAATAATAAAACATATGTTTAAAAAAGACACTAAAATCTCTGGAATTATAGACATCCAAATAGTAACAGTAGTTGTCCCTGGATGGAAGGATAATGAGTGATCTTTGCTTTTTTGCTTTTTATTCATCTATGTGTTCTTATTTATCTAAAATGAATATTGATTTTTAGGAAATATTTGAAAAAGTGTTGGAAATGAAGCAGGTGATTCATTGGAGCATGTACTGAGTCGAAGAAATATTTAGATTAAAAATGAGGTGGGTTGAAGTCTCTTCTCCTAAATGATAGATAAGTGGTGAAGATCGGGCTTTTCGTGAGGATTAAATGAAGTAATATGCATAGTACTTACAATGTTCTGGCACATAGCAGTTAATTAAGAAAAGTGAGCACCCTTAATTATCTAGAATGCAGGGTTGATAGCTTTTTGGTTGACCTTTGTTTTGCTGAGGTATTCTGCTATGTTTCAGTGTCATTTAATAAATAATAATAACAATAAAGGTTCCCATTTATTAAGTGACTACTGTGTAGAGTTCTGTCATTCCTGCAAATCAACTGTTAAAATAATTTCTCAAAGGATGAGAGGTTTATTTCTTTTCTAAGGACTTAACAGTGTTTCTTCAGACATGATCTTACCAGCCTCCATAATATAGCTCTAGCTGGTTTGGGGATGTTATCCTGTTTTATATATGAGGCCAGGAAAGGGTAAAATCCTCTGTCTGGTTATAGTCTGGTTTTAGCCCCAGGTTTCCATATATGTACTGTAACATTGTCTGTACTGGACATAAGGAACAGGGACTGTTTGGCTTAAAGTTTGTGTATGGTAACCCTACTAAACCATGCATATATGTAAGGACTCATTTAACATCAGTTTTAAGGGAGGACTGAGAGGAAAGGAACTAACATTTTTCTTGCTCCTATTGTTAGGAGAGAGAAAAAGATTTGCAGGGGGGTGGGTAAGAGGGGGTAGTGGGTGGATTCATCCATTTAAAATAAATTCAGTATGAAGCACCTGCCTGACATTTGGATGAGGTTATACGAATATATTGATCCGGTGCTCAGAGGAGAAGACTGGGCTGCAAATAAGGAGTTGAGAGCCATCAGAGGGTGGATGACAACTGAGGACTTGGCAGTGGATGTGATCTCCCAGAGAGAAGGGGCAGAGTCAAAGAGTGAAGGGCCACAAAAAGAAATGTATAAGGGACTGTGACAGCTGGGGAAAGAAGCACAGAATTGAAACTGAATATGTGCCCTTCCAGACACTTTTACTAGCCATGTAGGTATGTATTCTTTACACAAAATTGGATCATACTATAGACAAATTTTCAGAGCATGATTTAAAATTTTTCTCCTCAAACATAATAATAAATATTCATTGGGGTACTTGAGAATATAGAGTTGAATACAAACTTGTCTTTGACCCAGATATGTACTAGGAACATCTGAAAAAAAATGTTCATATTGAGCTATGTTGAACTTGAGGCGCAGAGTGACTTTTATACCTGGGGTGAAAGTGAGGTTAACTGGAGTAGTGAACAGCCCCATCGAGACAGGCACAAGCCCGACTAGTGACCATCTGCTCCTTTTCCCCTCCCCTTGTTCCTTCCCACTCTTCTTTCCTCTCCCTCCCTGGCACTTCTGTCTTTATTTCCTCCTTCTGGGAGATGATTGGTGGTAGCCTCTCTGTGCTTCTGTGTCTCCTGGAGTGACCATCACATTTCCATGACACCATGCCACTTACCAGTGGGCATTTAATATGGAATAATAACTGTGGTTTTACAGTGACCCTCGGTGTGACTGGATGCCAAGGATTTTTGGAACCCTTGTGGAACAGAACAGAGGCTGAGAAGGAGCTAGCCTCAGTGTGGCACAGCCGTAGGTGTGCTGCGTGTACTTTTGATGTCCCACACCTGGTATTATTTAGACTGAATAACAGGGACTTTGGGAAAGTGCTGTGTGAGACAGGTGTGTGACTGCCTGGCCCAGGCCACGTGCTGATGTCCCAATGTGTGCACATAGGAGGTTGTCATTGTCAACCCTTTGGGGAAGGGCAGAGTTCTAGGATTGTGGCTGTGAATGTGGTGGCTCACGGGAGCAGAGAGGAGGCAGTGTCCTCTCTTAAGAGAGATTGGCAGCTCCTGGGAAACCGAGAAACTCAGAGGATACCCTGCTATTTGGGTTTTGTTCTCCTCTGGCAGTTTTGGGAATCCAAGTGGGTCTATTCCAGTCCAAATGCGTTCAAAGGTGATTTTACAAAGGTGGAGTTCAGTTCTGCTATAAATTGTCAACCAAAGCATCATATTTCAAGGGTCAGGAAACAGGTTTGCTTTTCTCTTAAATTCATATTTTGCCTACCTTGTTTCCAAAGAGATTCCAAGTGTAGGTTTAGCAAATCGATGTGGTTCAGGCAAATGTTTTGTTTAGAGCTCTCTTGCATTAATTTCTCTGCTAAATTCCCTAGAGAATGGCTTTTAAAATGATTAATACGGTTTACAACACTAGCTTTTTACATTAATTTTGCTTCTCATCCCAGGCTGAAGGTTTTCTTTGGTTTATCTGATTAAACTGTGGCTCTTCCTTGCCTCTAAGCCAGAGCTGTCTCACCGCCATCCTGGGGTCCCTGGTCTGCCCCGCCCTGAGGATGTGATATTAAACAGGGTGAGAAATATTGACTTCTCAGAGTGGTGTCCCTCCTGCTTGACCCTGTCCGTCGGGACCCTCTGAGGCCTTGTGTTAAGGGCTTGGGCAATGTGTGTGTGTGGTTTGAGGACAGGTGTGGGAGGAGGGAGAAGGCAGAGGAGAGGGAAGGAAACCTTATTAGAGGGCGACTTTATCCTGAGAGGTTCATGCAAATGTAATTCATTCCACCTTGAGAGTGGGCTTAGTGTCATGCTCTGGCCCTGTTAACCACTGACATTTTAAAAAGTGAGAGTCGATGTAATACAAGCATCTTTCTTTGGCCATAGAACCTTAAATGAGGTGGGATTTTCTTTTGAAAATTAATGATGGAGTGATAATTTGTTACTGTAGAAAATATATTAATAATTATAAAGCAGACCACTTTCTTATCAAGCAGTGTATGCTGCTCAGAATATTTGTTCTCTCCCTAGGATCAATCTACATCAGAAACCAAAATATCATAGAAGGTTGTTTATTTAGTGCTCAGGGAACTTATCCAACTTAGCTAGATATTGATACCGTCAAAGTAGGAGAATCTGGTGCATCCATCTCAATTATGGGAATTAACTTGTTGCTGAAATCCAATACTTGTATTAAAGACCTGGAGCACATTTCTCCTCGGACACAATTATAAATTTCATCTGCCTAGATCCCGCTTTGGCAGAGGCAAAAGAGAGTATCAGCGGTGGTAGTTTTATGACTATTAAGGTGTATGATCAAATTGGCTATCAAACAGAATTTGAGAGATATTTACTTTTTTCAGCAATGTGATTTATTCTTTTTTCAATTTTTATTTTATTTTTAAATGGCAGGTAATAATAGTATGCATTTGTCAGGTATGATGTGATGTTATAACACATGTATACATTGTGGAATGATTAAAAGAGGCTAATTAACATATATATCACCTCACATAGTTATCATTTCTTTGTGGTAAGAACATTGAAAATCTATTCACTTAGCAATTTTGAAATATATAATACATCATTAATTATAGTCACCATGCTGTGAAATAGATCACTAGAACTTACTCTTTCTAACTAAAACTTTGTACCCTTTATCCACCATCTCCCCTTTTCTTGTCCATCTCCTCACCCCCCTAGCCCCTAGTAACTACCATTCTACCCTACGTCTATGAATTTGACTCTTTTATTCATTTTTCTTGGTTCTTGCTTTATTATTATTTTTCTTTTTTAAATTTTAATAGATTCAGGGGGTACAAATTGAAGTCCATTACCTGTATATATTGTATAGTGGTGGAGTCTGGCCTTTTGGTGTACCCATCACCCAAGTAGTGTATATTGTACCCCATAGATAATTTTTCATCCCTCACTCCCTCTCATCCTTCCCCCTTGTGAATCTCCAATGTCCATTATACCACTCTGTGTGCCGTTGTATAGCCGTAGTTTAGCTCCCACATAAAAGTGAGAACATGTGGCATTTATTTTTCTGTTCCTGAGTTACTTCACTTAGGATAATGTTTTCCTGTTCTAATCAAGTTGCTGCAAAAGACATTATTTCATTCTTTCTTATCATTGAGTAGTACTCCATGGTGTACTACACACCACATTTTCTTTATCCGCTCATCAGTTGATGGGCACTTAGGTTGATTCCATATCCTTGTAATTGTGAATTGTATTGTGATAAACATACAAATGCAGGTATCTTTTTGATAGAATGGTTTCTTTTCCTCTGGGTAGATATCCAATAGTGGGATTGCAGGATCAAATGGTAGATCTACTTTTAGTTCTTCGAGAAATCTCCATACTGATCTCCATAGAGGGTATACTAATTTACATTCCCACCAACAGGGTATAGTGTTCCCTTTTCACTGAATCCATGCGAACATCTATTGTTTTATGATTTTTTTAGTACTGGTCATTCTAATTGAAGTAAGATGGCACCTCATTATGGTTTTAATTTGCATTTCCCTAATGATTAGTGATGTTGAGCATTTTTTCATATGTTTTTTTGGCCATTTATATATCTTTTGAAAAATGCCTGTATATGTCATTTGCCTACTTTTTAATGGGGTTGTTTGCTTTCTTTTTGCTTAGTTGAGTTCCTTGTAGATTCTGGATATTAGCCTTTTGTCAGACACATAGTGTGCAAATATTTTCTCCCATTCTTAGATTCCACTTATAAGCAAGATCATACAGTACTTATCTTTCTGTGCCTGACTTGTTTCACTTAGCTTAATGTTCTCTAGATTCATCCATGTTGTTGAAAGTGATAGAATTTCCTTCTTTTTAAAAGCTGAATCATTTTCACTGTAGAAATAACACGTACTTATTAAAAAATTAAAACAGGTAAATATATAAAGTAAAATATAAAAACTGCCCTTTGCCTGTCCATCTTTACAGAGTTACCTACTATTATCAGAAGGATGTTTTCTACACATACACAAACATAAGCAGATATTATACATACTCACATTTTTAACAGAAAATGAACTCACAGTCCCTATAGTGCTCTATTCTGCAATTTTTTTTTTTACCTAAAATACATCATGTGTATCTTTCCATGCATATGTTACCTCATATAACTTCATTCATGGTGTTTTTTTCTCTGTAAATGATCTATTTTCAGGTAGCCATATCCCTTAGCCTTTGCCTTTATGGCTTCTAGGTTTTGAGTCATGCTTAGACAGGCCTTTCCCACCCCAAGATTTTAAAAGAATTTTAAAATATTTTCTTCGAGCTTTTAAAAATAGCTCTCTGTGTGTATGTGTGTGTGTGTGTCTTTTTAATCCTTCTGGTATGTACTTTCGTGTGTGCTATGAAGTAGAGATGTCATTTTACTTCTTTTTCTTAGCCCCAAACATGGAATATGCCATCCTTT